ATCTATTATCACTCCTTGGATAGATAGACCTAGAAGTCAGATGGTTAATATACAGTTATTAATGATAATATTAGACTAGTTGATATTGAATTTATAATTATTTATATTTTACTAAATTAATTCTTTTTTGTATATACTAGATAGAATATATTATATCTTTCAATATTTTCAGATATTATTTACTTAGATGTCAGAAGAAGAGCATATTGTCTTCTTTGTTACTACCTAAACATCACATCAATTTTTATTAACTGATTTTCAATTAAGTAAAATATCAAATTGAAATATTCTAAGTTAGGAGGGTATAAGTTCTAGAGATTATCAGAGTAGAGAATCTTGAATGTTTATAGAAAGTTAGACTAAAAGTTTTTCTTCATGCAATCCTTTTGATAATAAAACTATAAATTTAAGTTTCTAATTGATAGAAGTTCAGAAATTCTATTTTTATATAACCTAATCAAATTTTGATCTTGTTTCAGATAATTGGATATGACTTTTATAGAATAATCAGTAAATCTAATTAGAAAATAATTTTTTATTTTGATTTTTAAGTGATATTGAACTATAGATCTTGTGATTGTAACCTGAAAGCATTACCAATATACTATTAATTCACAGGTCTATATATATAAATTTATTATAATTTAATATAAAAAATTTATTTATAAATATAAAATTAATAAAATTATTTATAATTAATTTTTTTAAAAATTATATATTTTTTATTTTATTTTATTTTATTTTAAAAAATAATATATTAAATTTCTATAATATTTAAAACATATATAACTAATTTGACAAAGAATAGAAAAATTTATATATTATAAATCCAATAATATCTTTTGAAACAATTAATTAAATTTAATAATAATTTAATTATTTAAATGATATAATTTCAATTTTGATATTAATTGTTAATAAGAAAAAAAATCTATATTTAAAGAAATAAATAATCTAAGGTTATAATTAAGAGGCATAAACATATTTAATCTAAGAGAAGTCACTATTCTTCTTATATATCTATTAAATCTCAACTTTTTTTTTCATCTATCTCTTTAAATTTGATCAATAGTTCTTTTTTGTATTTTTTAGCAAAATAATTCATTATTTTTTTTAAAAAAAATTTTTTTATATTTGGATTTCTCACAATATATCGATCGCATAGTTTCAGTGAAGACAAATCATTTCAAGATATAATAATAGTATCTCAAATTACTTGGAATATCAAAAGTACTATCATTAACAAAACCAATAAACCAGTCTAGTTAGCTATCTAATAACCAATGTTATTTATTTACCAATAGCTTTAAATAACAAAATAAAAAAAAATTTTTTTTTAAGTATTTCATTAAAGAATATCATTTGATTAAACTATTTATCGCAACTTTAAGAATCAAAAAATTATGTCATATCTCGATTAAACACGAAGTACAAAATTTTTTGCAGAAAGATAATTCCAAATAGTTATTGCCGCAATATTAAAATTATTTTTCTGATTGCAATATTAACCATTAATATCCTATACGGAATTCGAAATAATAATATGATAGTGTAGATAAACTATTTCAGATGATAGAGCTCTTGTTATAGGATGACGTGGGCGCAAAAGAGACTATACATGCACATTGCAAATTTAAGACAATATGGCACTATACATCTTAAGCTCAACTACCAAATCTTCGAATATGTATTGAGTTATGGAGAAATGAACACGTGTGTTACTATGAAATGTGAGCCAAATAGCGTATGTTGTTGAGGAACACCTCAATTATTTCTACATAACGGTTGGATTGCTTCCGTTCTAGTTTTGTTTTTTCCTCAATTAGAACTCGCGGATCTAAGAATTCGACCTCAAGTTCATGTGTAACGTCTTGCGGAGGCATGGTACCATCGATGTTTCGCGCTTTCTATAAGTTTGCAATAGCGTCAGGCTCAAAATTCAGCAAATTTTTATTAGCGGTTCTAAGACGCACCTCGGGGCCTTTGACCTGCGTCAGATCTATCTTAAACAATTGATGTGTGTAACTTAATCTATCCTTATTTCGTTCGTGCATGATTTTGCCGGTCGGCTTTTCCACTAAAACCGAAGGATGATCGTCATTAATAAATACTCGAATATAAACCTCTAATATCTTCTTACCTGGTCTTTCGGAGTTTACAGATATGCGATAATCTAGTTGGGTATTTGGAGAATAGATATTCAAAAAAGCAATACGGACTTTCTCAACAATACCGCCTTTGACAATCTAAATAAAGCGAACCCATCAGTCGACACAGAAACAGAAATAGATTTTTTTTTTTGGTAAAATGCCGAAAATACCTCTCCAGTTTTAGTATCTGTAGTAACTCGGACTTTATTTTCATGAATTCTGTCTGTTTCATAGAGATGTTTATATTCTACAGGAGCGCCCTGTGGCAGTGTTTTCGAAACAATAAGGTTTTCAAATTTGTCCATCATCTCTTCTCGAAAGAAAGAAAAAAATGGTGAACTTAAAATGGAATCGAAGAATTACTAGATATGGAGGCTTCGTTTTAAGTACGCGTTCATTTAATATAGCGTTAAAGTGTTTATGCTGCGCCTGGGTAATAAAGGATCATTAACAGAGGAGGGAAGAGAGAAAATTTAGTAATTAATATTATCCTTACTGTTGACATATCAGTTTCAAATTTCAAATTTCTACAATTAGGAGAGATAACTGAAAATAACAATGGAAAATCAGAAAGAAATGTTGTCAAGGATGATGTTTACAATATTCTTACTCACTTGTTTCGCACATGACATCCATATGTATTCTTTGCTTTGTACGAGCGTCTTTTATTATACCCAATTTTGCCTCGATCTACTCAATCAAAACCGGGAACATTGGCAAATATAATAATAAAGGTTTATAATAATGTGAATATTACCTCGACATATTCATCTTCAATGTGTTCGAATAAAAAGTTTCCGATGGTCCTTGTGAAATCGCTGGTTGGCAGAACACCAAAGATCGAAGGCTCCAGATTCCTGGGCAATTTTACACTAGTTACTTGCTGCCTCACTAAGGAACCGTTTGAGCTGGGTGTACTTTCCTCTATTTCGTCACTATCCTCTTCATATCGAGGGCGTTTTCCGTTACTTGACATATTATTATGGACTAAGTGAATCTTGACTTAAAAGTAGAAATCAAAGTGTGAAGTTAAGCTTGATCGGAGGTTATGTCCAATCATTTATGCGGGAAAAACATGCTGCATCTGCATTGATTACCCTTTTTTTTTTTTTGACAAAATGAATAAAATCCATAAAACAAAACATATTATCTCCCGGCCAAAAAATGGTGTTTCTGGGTTTATTTTTCAATGTCGAAAAATGGAGTTCAATTATTGTGAACGCAGTGGAAGTAGTCGTGGTATGATGTAAGTTATAAATCTGTTCGCCGTATTTCGAATATTTGCGGTAAGATATTGAGTCAACTCTTCCTATAACGAACTGCTAGAACTGAAAAAAAAAAAAAAAAACCAAAAAGTTCGTTATAGTTTTCTTAAGAGTTTATATCTTCCTTATACCAAACTATTATAAAATTTTATAATTTGAGTTCGTTATATTCATAATTGACTTTATTTTCTCTGTTGTAAACAGTGAATACCTAAAAAGTCGACTTGCACCTTTCGCCAAGAAAAATCCACAAATAGAGATCATAGTAACTCCTCGGCCCTCGAAGCATCCTTTAATTCGTGGGACATACCGTTAGTAAATAATAATTAATTTGGTTTTGAATTCCGATCACATTCAGTGAACTAAATTCTATTTTCCTAATCATCATTCATAAGTAAATGGACTTCAAAAGGACATTTGTGTTAAAAACAAGGAGCCAAAAGATATCTCAGAAGTCGTTCAATTGATACGTGACAACACTGGTTATAAGGCAAAAGGGAGATTCAAGAAACCGGTCATTTCGACGACTCCAAGCGTCCGAGGTATTTGGAGTCCTTTTAAAACTAGATCACATGTTATTTAATATTTAATGGAATCCGGAAATCACTTTTGATCCATTTTTAAATACTATGTTAAATGGGTTTTTTTCCTCTTGTAAATTGAAACTAGCTTTTAGTTTTTCTCAATTGATACTTTATAATATTGATGAATTTAACGAATTATCAAATTTATGAAATAAAGTCATTTCTAAATTTATAGCACCTGCCAAAAAGAATGCTTGTTGATTAATTAGTAATAATTAATATTTAAAAATAACCAAAAAAATTAAAATTGATAATTTATAAACCATATTTTTAATTTTAAAAATATAAAATTAGCAAAATAACAAAAGTCAAATTTGGATTTTATTATAAAGATAAAAAAAATCAGATTATAAAAATATTAAAAATTAGAATATTCTATTTATAAAAGATAAAAATAAACAAATAAAAATAAATGCATATATATACAGATATACAGTATATATATATATATATATATATATATATATTATAAAAATAACATGTCTTTATTGAAGGAAAACTCTTTCCGCTGATCCTAAATTTCCTAAAAAATTTCCTTTTATGGTAATTTTCTTGGAAAATTCAGAAGCCAG